TGTAACATTACAAAAATATTTGGCGCCTGTTTTTAATTTAGACAAAAAGGGGGAAATGTTGCGGGTTAGTGCGGTGCTCTATGTTCTGATACTAAATTCTGGGCCCCAAGATCTGGTTGCCGTCCAGACAACTACATTCTCATGCATGCTGAACTATGTTGTGTAAATTTTGCTCCTCAATTGTCTCTGACTGGTTAATTAAAAAGCTAGATGGCCTATAGCTGGGCAGAAAAGAGCTGGGTAGAAAAGAGCTTTGGTTCCTGGACTTGGGGTCTCAGGTAGAGACCATGAGGAGGGGGGAGGAGGAGGAGGAGGAGGAGGAGGAGGAGGAGGAGGAGGAGGAGGAGGGGGAGGAGGAAGTCGGCATAGGGCATCATGGACCATGAGCACATCCATGGCCGTGAGGGCTGGCTTGGTGGAGCAAAAGCAGCCCACACAGGAACAATGGCAAGTAATATTGGGGTACATGGCTGGGAAATAGCAAAATAGCTTAGAGGGTTGATATCTGCCCAGCTCTAGTGCTTTTAAGCTTATTATAAATCAAATGAGTCTCTGTGGCTTTTATTTGGAAACTAAACAACTTCTAAAGTGGGACAGAAACTCCTAATAGATAACTAAAAGTGAAAGGGTGTGTTAGCAATCCCCCCAAATTCTACTTCAAGGTATCATTTGTGTGCCAACAAAAACCAGAGGTGAAGAACAACCCTGAGCTCCTGCCACAGACTCACAGGCCTCCCTTTCTGGTCCTCACCGGTGGTCATGGCCCCAGACTTCCACCAAGGCTCAGTGAAGTCCGCTATCTGAAGGTGCTGGCTGAGTCAAGCAGCAGACACGTACCAGGCAGTTAACTGTGCATCTACTAAGGCCCATGACCCTGATGGCTCGTCTATGACACTGGGACCTGAGACCCGCGGGAGGCTGCTGCACTGGTGTCTGGGGAAAGAGAACTATAAAGGGAGCAAACTGGGAAGGTGTGGCGGGCCCAGTTAGAGACAAACTCCAGCGCAGTTCCGGGCTTGCTGCCAGGTGGTCACACTGAGTGGACTCGTGGCACTGTGCCAGCGGGCAGAAATGGCTCTGTAAATCCTGCCCCAACCATTTGTTGTACTCTAGATTTAAAGCAGGTGTCCTTCCAACTTATAGCTCCTCAGAAATATGCAATCATTGGGCTGATTGCATTGTTTCTGGGAGAAAGGCGCATACACACTGTGAGAAAACCACAAGGCATTTACAGGAAGCTCATCAGGAACAAGATCAGAAGGTAACCCTACAATAGAGTCTTTACGACAGTAATGTAGTCTCTGCTGCAGTAACTGAAAACAACAGGTGCTAGACAATAAAATAGCACAATGCAGCCTGTGGCCAGGATTTAGCTCAAGACCGTAGTTTGCCAACCCTCGAGCTAGACCTAGGGACATTAGGTTCTTTATGAAAATGTAGTGGAAAGATTCCATTTGTAGCAGTAATCCCAACTGAGGCCTAGATCAATGTCTGGGAAGAGTTCTAAAGCTGCACTGCATCCAGCAGCTGGAGAGCGAGCGTGCCACGCCGCCACACCCCCAGTGGACACAGATCATCCGACTGCGCCTCCACGCTGCGTGCAGAAAACCAGGCGAGCTTACAAGAACTGTTTACAGACATAGAGCGTTCTACATCAGATCGCCCACCACACGAAGCCCAGTGCTCTCAAAAATAACTCAAATGGAAAGGTTTTAAGGTACAGGAGAAAAAGCACAGTGTGTCTAGCGGCCTGCTCCAGGCCGGAATTCCCTCACCAAACATCAACACTAACAGAGTCCTGAAATGTTTTCCCGACTATGGGAGCACAAAGCAATCCTTGCTAATTGAGCTACAAGCACTACCTGAAAATTGAAAAGCCACCAGCCGAAGCCTCAAATGCAAAGCACGTACCTGGACTGGACTCTTCGGGAGGGGAGCTGCAATCTGCACAGAAACGGAGGGCAACAGGGATGATTAAGGAGCAGCACACAGTTCAAACACGAGCAGCTCGGTGTCAGAGCTACTGCAGCAGCAGCTTGCACAAAGTGCTTAAACACACGGAGAAGAGGCCTAGGGCCCAGGCGCCTCTTACCCAGTTTCCCAGGGGCATCCCTGCTGCGGGGAGCAGTGGAGCCCTCTCGGGGGTGAACCACTGTGATTCACCACAATCAACATCCATGTTGCTGACACTTCCAACATAAAATGTTCTTCAGGGTGAGTGAGCCAACACACAATGCCACAGATGCCACAGTGATGATGACGTAGACATGGAGCCCCTTGTTAGCTTTCAACAGCAAGTGGGAGAGACTGACCAACCAAGCATGCAGTGTGGAACCCACCGCCCTGGCTCATGAGGGAGTCCAGAGTTCAAGATGGACTGCTGAGCTCTAAACTGTGAGGGCCCAATGATAAACCCAATATGGCCACAGACCCTTACGCCAGTCCTTAAACTGCAACTAAAGTAAGCAGATGATTTAAAAGATGGCTCCAATAGGAAACTCCTCCAGTTAGGCTGTCCCTCCAGCTGGACCGCCCCTGAACGTCTTCAGAGAATACCAGTTTTGATTTGGTTCAGTTTTGCCGAGTCCTACTGGGGTGCACTCATTTGACCCCCCACATTCCCCTTGAAAATGCTACAATTCCTAGTTAAGCCAATGTGCCATCTGAGAAGACAATAAGAGAAGGCACCAAAGGGGAAAAGCTGCATTTCATATTGTGTCTGAGCTTCAGCTTCAAAGGATGTCCATAGGAAACTGAAGCAAGAGGGCTTTAGTCTCCCAAGACTAGCCGGAACAAGTTTAGGGTGTTGTCAGGGAAGGAGGGCACCTGTTGGGTTTGGACATGACTCATTAAACTGACAAGATGGAAAGAAAAGGCCGTGTCTAAGTTGAGGAGCTCAGCCCCTCTGTCAGAACTGAACTCCTGAGGCCGGCTGGTGAAGGTCAGGACCCCTCATGGTGTGAAATGATGTGCCCAACATGGTCAGCAATTCTTAAGCCTCCATCTTCTGATGAGTTCTCCCAAGCCTTGAAAGCCATGTGCATGCATGTGTGTATGTGTGTGTTTGTTTCTGCTCATCATCGCCTCTACTGCAGGACTCTGGTCTATGAGGAAAGATTAGGCCTTTGGAGCGCCTGTGGTGCTCTCACACAGCAGGGTGGGACCATTCCTGTCAGAGTTTACTCACTTTGGGAAACAAACCTTTCAACCCAAGGGGAGAAAGGAGGCTCCTCAGTTACTCTCAGATCAGTGGCTCGTAACTGGTCATGGGTCATGGGGCCTTTGAGATTTGATGGCCACTATGGACTTTCTCCCTAGTCACATACAAATTTCAGCATCTCAGGGGTACATGAGGCTGGGGTATGCATAGATTCTGGGTTAACAATGCAGCAACTGAGAAAAGATTCCCCAGACTGGCCTGTCAGTGAGCCTGCAGGGCATTTGCTTACTTAGTGATTGAGGGGGAGGGCCCAGGCCTCTGTGGGTGGTACCAGGCTTGGGCTGGCTGGGTAAGCCAGGAAGGAGGGTCCTCCATGGCCTCTGTATCATTCTCTGCCTCCGGTTCCTGCCCTGAGTGCCTGCCATGACTTTCTGGATGGAGGACCGTAAGCTATGAGCTTCAAAATAAACCTTTTCCTTCCCAAGTTGCTTTTGGTCATGTGAGTGTTTTATTACCACCACAGAAACCCTAACGAGGACAAGTGCCAGAGACAAATGAGTCAAAAACAAACAGCCTTATCACACAGCACACCAGCTCCTACATTTTAAAACATCTAGCCATTTCTTCCTCTGCAGGAAATATTTAAAGTTACAAACAAAATTATATATATTTCTTCTTCAGTCCTGCAGGGGCCTCACATTCATTCACAGTAAGTGATCTACCATATATTACATCCCTAGACCTACAGACAAGTTAATGTTAAAAGAGAAAAAAATAATGAACTAAAGAAAAAAGTAACTTTCAGAAAAAAAAAATAAACAACAGGAAAATGGGAACAAAACAGACACAGCTTAGTTGGATGAATCAATCACAGGCTTGAAAAGGTGACAGGTGTGACCCCCCGAGAAAGGAAATAGACGATGTAGACATGGCTGAAACAGAGGTTCAAGGAAGACAGTGCCCTGGAAACACTGCAGACCAATGAGACGAGGGATTGGTGAATGATTCTGTGCTCAATGGCTGCTGTCTACCACAAGTCCTCATCTCCAAGCCAAGCCTGCACCCCTCTGGGGGACTCAATGCAGCTTAAAGCTCCTCGTGGAGAGCAAAGGGGAGGCAGAAGCTGGGTGCGCAGCCAGGGCTCACATGACCCAAGTGTTCTCAGCTCTTACAGAAAAAGGTGAGAGGCACCGAAGAGGAGGGACCACGAAGCCACTTGGTTTTCGACACATCAGTCCTCAGCCTTCGGGCCTATCTTGAGGGCAGTGTGCCCAGTGGCCCTTTCTGAAGCGTGCTGCTGCGCAAATTGTGTTACACTCAGGGTCGCCCTCTAAGAGTGGGGTCAGACAGGTCAGTCGAGCTTATCTGCCATCTGACTGAGTTCTAAGACACTAGGTGACATGCTGGGTAACAGCATGCCTAGCCAATGAGAGCTCTTGGGGCTGCCAGCATGCCTCATCCGGCAGGCTTCCTACGAAGCTCTACCCATTTCCAATACGCTGAGAGTAACACCCCAGAGGCATCTGCATGCAGCCCCTGGCAGCTTCTCAGGGGATTCACCACCTGAGAAGACTTCCCGCCGTGACACTGCAGCCCTGGAGGGCCCGTCTGCCCACGGTGGCGAGGCAGATGTGGCGGGCTCAGTGGCATGGACAGACGACAGGAGCCTCTACCCTGCCTGTCTGCTGCTCTGGCATGTGGACTCCCCGCAGGCCTGTGCTCTCTGACAGCCCTCCCCGTGGTCTGCTTGGGGGAGGCAGGCATGGCATGGGAGACATAGACACACAGAAGTGACGAGGCACGGGCTGAGGCTGCATGGAAAGCGTGGACGCATACGCACGTGTGCCTGGGTGAGGATGGCATGCAGCAGTGGGCATGGAGGAGGGGCATGCCGAGGAGGGGCCGTCACAGAGCGGGTCCTCCGGTCTGATCCAGTAGGCTTGGCTGTCCCGGTTACCTTTCTTGCTGGAGCAGGTGCTAGGGCAGGGGAAGACGTCCTCGCTGCCCTCCCCGTGCAGGCGCTCCTTCTGCAGCAGCTTGTCCACCCGCTGGACGATGCACTCCAGGCTCTTGTCCACATTCAGCCACACTTTCTCCTGCAGACCAAGAGCACCGGGTCAGCTCGTGTAACTAAGAAACAAGAAGAGAACGCAGCCTAACCCCGTCTCTTTCTCGCCCCAGCCCATAATGTCTAAATAGCCCTCAAGTCAGATGAGCTTTCCAAAGACAACGGCAGCCTTGTGGTCGCTGGCTTGAGAGCTTGCAGACACTCACTGACAACTCTTTGGAGGACCAACAGCCTTCCAGTCCCATCTGACAGGCCCCAGGGCACCAGGAGCTCACCCTTTGCCTCTTTCCACTGCAAGCCACCTACAACCATCACAAGCACTGAAGTTTCCTTCCAATGGACAGGAATAGAAATAGCTGGTGGCTGGGGGGAGGGAGCTGGGGGGAGAGAGGGAGCTGGGGGGAGGGAGGGCAGGCTGGGAGTGGGGGGCAGAAACCCACACAGACCACAGGCTGCCAGAGCTGGTGGAACACTTCGCTGCCAATTAATAATTCAGTGCTTCATGGGCTGCCTCTGAGAAGCAGCCCCAACAAATGACAAGTTGCAGCATGTGTCCCTTCCTGAGAGACAAGGATCCGGCTCTCTGGCCAGTTCGGGAACAATGAAGAGACGAGATGCCAGGGTTAGTAGCCTGAGCACTCAAGCTCCTGCTTTCAAGCACAAAGAACCCTGAGGAAGACAGGCCTGTCCCAACACAATCATGTAAATTTATACACACTGTGGTCTGAAGACAGTGTACCTCAGCATCTGCTGGCCTCAAGCCACATGCTCAGAAGACCTGAGGTGTGCTAGCAAAGCAGCTGGCCTTTGGGCACTCCGTGAGGGAGGTCCCAGGTAGCACTGCTCTAGTTTGCAACCCAAGTTCAACAGGCCGGGTCAGCAGACTCACCCACTCCTCCTCGTGCCAGTCCACCTGCAGAGAAGACCGGCTGCTCCGTCCTGCCCACCTGGCCATGAGGGTGTCCTGGTCATTCCGAAGCATCACCTGTTCCTCCTCGGTCGAGGTAGGCGAGGCCTTGGAAGCGATGTAGTCAGGCCGTGCTGCATTCAGCCCATGGATGGAGTTGGCCAGCAGCTTACAGTCACAGACAGTGACCAGCTGCCGGGTCTGCAGGGACACACACAAACCAAGGCTGCTAAGCATGTGCGCTCTCAGAGAAGGACGCAGGCTAAGGCCAATGTTCACCCGCCCATCCTGCTCCACGCAGCCTGCAGGACAGCCTTCTGTAGCGGATCAAAACACAAAGGCAGCATGAGAGCCGATAGGATAATCTCAGCAAGAACTTCCCTGCAAGACTAGAGGACTAGGTCTGCTTATCCCAGCAGTGGTTGGAAGATGGGGAGAGGCTGAGACTCCTACCTGGCATTTTTGGCTCTGCTTGCCTTTGACCCTAGATCTCTAGAGGAAATGGCTCATTTTCCAGCTTTGACCATATGGTGGACTTTGCCCCAGCCTCGGGGGCTAGGCCCTGGGGGTCACACAGTACTTTGGTTCAATTACTAGAGCATTTTTAATGCATCAGGCTCTGAATGACTAGTGTCCTGGTGGCACATGCCTCATCCTGGAGACTGCAACAGGTGCTCTGCCCTTCCCAGTTTCACTGCTGACAACCGCAGCTTCCTTTCCCGGTGGCCCTGGTCTGTCTTTGTCCTGTGGGAACTCATGTGAGGAATCTAACACGTTCCGAGCAGGACCAACAGCACCGTCATCAAGCCAGGTGTGGGTGGAGAGGTGCAATCAGAATGGGTGATGGGAAGAAGGCCATCTACCACGTGCTGACACAGCTGCTCTCTTAGTATTCGCCGATGCTTACAATTCTTAATCAGGATTGAGTCACAGTTGAACAGAACTTTTAAAATTAATTTTACATACACCAATAAGGTTATATTGCTCATTTCTTGTGAGTGAATAATTGGTATTTTGGTGCTAACTAGGATGCCACTAAGGAAGCTGTTTGTCAGCACAAGCCAGGGAAAATAAACACAGATTTACTCGCACATCAACAGGCTGGTCTGCGGCCACACCTGACCACTGGCCAGTCACAGGCTTCCCTGAAACTTGGCGGATTTAAAAGAAAAACCTTCAGGGTCATCACGATGCCACTCTCTCTAAAGGCCTCTTCTGGGCAGCCCAGTAGCTGCCAGAAACCCAGAGGCGCTCTCCACCCACATGGAGCTGGGCAGCCCCTCACCTTGTCTGCCAGGATGGCGAGCGTCCTCTCAAGGCCAGTGGCAGACCTGTCCTTCGCCGCCCTTGAGAGCCGTTCTGCGTAGTAGCTAACTTGGGTTTTCAGGGTGTTGATCTGGGCAATGATCTCCTTGGCTCGGATGATGTCCTGTGGTATGTAGATTATGGACTGGCAGCTAGATGGAGTACTAAAAGGAACAACAGGTCTAAGGGGCTCTCCAAATCATCCAACCACCCACGACTATCCCAAAAATAAAGAGCTCTTCCTGGGTGGTTTAGTCGCTGCTGGGCAAAGGCCATCTTAGAAGACCCTTCTTATCTGAGGAGAAGTATAACACATACATGACTAACACTTTGTGTGCACTGCACCCGTATCCTGTGTATTACCGCACATTTGCATGTGTAAATGCATTCAAATATCACTGTAATAATTAGCAAATGCTGGGATCTTACCTAGGAACCTCATCTACTAACTCATGAGCAGTCCTTCCATATGAGGAAGGGATCAATTACCCACTTACACCAGAAGGGATCAATTACCACACTACAACAGACACTGAACTATGTATTAAAAAAAAATTTTTTTTCAAAGAACCAAAACCCACACCCTAAAGTTTGCTTCTTCATTTGGGCAACAGGGCTTTTAGGCTTCCTGTGACCAGACCCACATTGTTCTCTCACATATTAACCATAGCAAGTTCCCAGCACTGGGATTCCTTTCCTTCTCCTGTTTCAGGACTTCCTTATGTTGACAACAGCATCACAGAAAGTAGAGACTGTGCCAACCAGAGGCCGCCCCAACAACTCAATGGCTCTGAAGCCACAGCCCTTCACCCTTTCCATCCCCTCACCAGCTCACAGCACGTGTGTCTGGGAACGGGATGTGAAAGGGCTGGGCAGCTGCGGCCAGAGGGAATGCTGCCCCTTCTGAAGTAAAGGGCTCACCTTGAGTTCCAGGGAGGAGGGGCAACGTGGAGAACAGAGGGTGACTCTCCTCACACACTACCCAGTGGCTGGAGAGGAGTGTCACCTCAGCCCTTTCCAGGAGGCCCAGAAGGAAGTCGGGAAGAAACCACTACGGCCCTCTCTCCTTCTGGGTGAGGGGACAAACATGCAAACACCACACACCAAACTGCCCCAGAGGACACCGCCACCACAAGCCCACACACCACAGCAGACAATGATGGATTGCCGGAAGCCCATGCAGCGGCTGCCACCGCACCTGCCTGTGTAGCGTGTAATCATTCCACAGCGCCTCGTGCAGGAGCTGCTTTCCAATCTGCAATCCGCTCCCAAATGAATAGCTGCCACTGGGACAATCGGGTCTTGGAAATACATTTCCAAAAAGATTAAAAAGGAGAATCTGTTCTTTCAGGCCCCCAACCTTTAGAGTCTACACGGACCATGTGCCATGTGTGTCTACTGCTGCATGCGCCCAGGGCTGTGCACACCTGTTAGAGCAACATACCTAGGACTGACACACGGTGAGCAAGTTCAGGGGACTGCTCTTGGGGACATGAGGAGTTCATGTATTAAGTGCATGTACTCAGTGAGCTCCAAAATCAGGCGCCACACAAAGGCAATGGGGTGGGGCGCAGAGGCCACGCTGCCCCTGGGGAGAAGCCTACTGTTCTGCTCATTATCCGGGCTCCCAGGTTGTCCTCAGCAGCCGAGGAGGCTACTCACAGAGTGCCATGCAAGCTTAAGCGTGGACTGTTACTCTGCACATGAAGAGTAAGGCTGTCACTGCATAGCTGACACCCCTGGGGTGGAGCCAAATGTTTGACCGAGATTTGGGCGTCCCCTTGCTCTCAGGCTGGAAGGTTCACCACCTGTCCTAAGAATGGTTGGTATTCTGGGGAAAGAGTGGAAAGATGGAAGAAACCAAGCCCTTCCTCAGAGATGGAAGGTCTAGAGTCTTCAGTTCAGATGGAACCTGAAGAACTTTCCAAATAAGGGCCACATAAAACAGCTGGGTTGGAACTTACCAAGGGGCAGTGGGGCCCTTGGCCCTCCATGTCCTAAGTTCACTGTGCATCCCTCAGGCCCTTAGGGATTTGATGCAGCCTGCTATGGAAAAAGGGAGCCTCCCTTCAGAGAAGCCTTAGGAGGGAGAAGGGACACAGATTCTGAGGGCACACTTCTAAAACATGGGTGTTGAGAATGGTCTCTCCATGAGGAATGGTTCCAGCAGCACTCTTCCTAGATGCCTTCTTCCCTCCCTCAGGGAAGGGACCCTCAAGAGAAAGCTGTTGAGGCCTCTTCTTGGGTAAGTTTATCCCTGCCATTGTGTGTTCCCAGCATTGCATTGGCCTCTTAACGAGGATCTAGCCCCAGCCCCAGAGCCTCTTGGCTCATTAGATCAAGGTAGCAGCATTTCCCATAGGGCTGTGGGACCTCCTCCTGGTGAGCTGCTGGTTCCCAGTCTGGGACTAGGGGGAGATCCTAGTAGACGCAGTAGCTTCTGACTTCCATCTAATCCTCGGGAGGAAAGAGTCTCTCGGCTATTGCCTGCTGCCTACCGGGCAGCACTGGCCCGAACATCCCCATCACTGAGGCCAGACAGAATACTCTAAGTTTTACAAAGATGTAACCGGCTCCGTCAGATAAGAGGAAAATGACAACTCAAAGGCTTCATGCTCCTTGTAAAAGAAGACTGAACTGGGCCTGGTGATTACACAGATCTGCAATACCTGCTACTGAAGGCTAAGGCAGGAGGATCACAAGTTTGAGAAAGGCCTTGGCTGCAGGCTGAGTCCAAGGCCAGCTTGGGGAAAGTTAGTGAGCGCTGTCTCAAAAGAAAAAACTTAACATGGTTGAGGCTGAGCAGAGTGATCCAGCTTTGCCTACCATGTGCTGAAAAAAAAAAAAAAGGTTCCCACATGGCCTTGGGGGGCACAAGATGGCTCACTGGGTAAAGGTGTGTATTGCCAAATGTAGCAGCTGAATGATGGGGTACCTAGCACCCAGAGTCCTCAATGGGCTCTTCTGTATCCTGGGAGGAGGCACAGTGGACCTGGCTCTACTGAGTGTAGGAAGAAACTGCCCTCAGGCTTGCCAGGAAGGCTGCAGACTGGCTATTCATTATCAAGGGCATTGCAGTTGGAGGAGGAGCCTGTCTACAGGACACGGAACTGAGAGCCAAGCGGCAAATGGGATGGAGCCACCCGGATGAAGGACAGCACAAGCTTTCTCTGCACAAGAGCAAGAACCAACATACACTCTCCACAGACAGAAAACTCACCAACACTCCTCAAAACTGCTAAAGAAAAAAAAAACACCAAATGAAGCATTAGCCATTGTTAGCAAATATCACAGGCAAAGCATAATTTAAAAGCTGGCTATTTTTTTTTCTTCAAAATAATTAGACATGATTTGTTGAGGGCATGACTATGGGGATAAGCAAACTTATGAGTCCAAAATGCTTATTCTCTCAACAAGTCTGTGGTCAGTGTTCAAGGCCCATAGCCATCCCACCAGGGGCACAGGACATCTGCATTAAAGGAAAGCTCAAAGAGCACAAACTTTGTCGGAAAGTGGGCTTATGACATTAGTACAAAGTTTCATAAAATCTGTACTACATATTTGAAAGGCCTAAAGAGGCAGTGTAGAAATAAGTTCTGAAGCTAAAATGTAAAGTCGTCTAGTATCCAAACTGCAGCCTTTCTTGGACAAGGGACAGCCTGGTGACCCCTCCTGACTGGTCAGCTAGAATGAATGGACTTTTTCTGTCAGAGAATCACGTTGCCTCAGCTCACACACTCAGTCTCCACATAGCACCAGGCAACAGTGGGCCACACACACACTGTGGCCGACTGTGCAGAACTGAGACAGAAGCTTTGCCCTCTTCCTACTCCCTAGGACACTGTGGACATGAATGCGGAGGAGAGTCTGACCACCCAGTTTGTGTGCTTGGTAGGAAAGAATCAAGGCTCTCTGAAGCCTCGCTAGTACACTGAAGTGGCTTTGCTGACCCCAGCCATTGCACATGTCTCCTCCTCACACCCAGGGCTGGCTGACACACATTGCAAGGGCAACTGCTCAGCATGGCCTCTCTTGCTCCCTGCTCAGCCACTGGCATCGCCCACATCGGTGGCATCTGATCTGCCTTCTGACTTCACTGGTCCCTGACGGCCACCGGTCCAGTCTGTCCAGATCCTGACCCAGTCCTGCAGTCTCCTCACTCTGGCCATGGCAGTAGAACTGGACAATGACCAATCAACTCTCATTTATGCCTCCACCTGCCACCGTGGGGGTCTCTGGGGGCTCCCTGGACCTTTGCTTCATGTCTCTCAAGCCATTCCACTCTCATCTTGAGACCACATTCCATAGAGAAATCCCACTAACATTCTGTCTCATTCCCTCACGCCTGACCCCACCAACCTGCTACCTCATCCCTTCTGGGAAAACCAAACTGGTCTGTTCTCTCTACCTCACCTTACATATAGGTATGTTCCATAGTGGCCAATCACACTGAGACCATAGTTAGTCTTCTGAAACTCAGCCCTTTATGCTGCCTCCTCTGTCTCACCTGCTACCAAGGCCTCACACGAGCAGCACTCGCCTCAAGTGCACTCACCCCTCTGATCCACTTAATGTCTACCAGGTGACGTTCTGGAAGATAGCCACGGAACGCTTCATCTGAGGCTTCCCCCCTGCCTCGCTGGCAACTTCCTGCTCAGGACAGAACTGTACAAGCCTCTAGCCCACTCAGTAGTGGGGATGCTGTCACTGCTGTCCTTTAGGAAAGGACACAGCACGCCAGGGGCTTTAGGAACTAGGGAAACAACCCCTGACAGTACGGTCCTGTGAGAGGCTTTTACAGGTTTTCCGCCAACTGACCAGGTATTGTTTTGGAAGCTGGGACGGCAGGACTGCACACAGGCAGCTGCCTGCTGCAATACTCAAGAGCTGGCTCTCTGTGTGCAGCTCACTTGGAAAGTACTGGACTGGTGATTAGATGCCCTCACTGCTCACTCTCCTCAGCCACACGCACGCACACACACAGAGTAGCACAGGTCCCTAAGGCAGCTCCTCCAGCCACGCGGAAGCAGATCAGACGGCTGGATGTTTTTGCGGTTCTGTTTTGATTCTTATTTTAACTCACAAACATCAAACACAGCTGTACAAGGACCACAAATACCGTCCTTCACTTACTGTTTCTTGGTCTCTTCAAACTTATGCAGCTTTTTTCGAAGACCTCCTGACTTAAAACCTTGGCAGTGTGCTGCTGGGGCTCCAATAGTGACGACATCGTAGTTCTGATCTGAGTGACAGAAAGCTTTCCTCCATTACTCTGGGTCAGGCCTGCAGACAAGCCAGCTACAGCAACACGCATAGCACTGTGGGACCTACAGCCCACGTGCAAACAGCCTCTGGCTCCCTAACCCTTCACCCAGAGGCTAAAAGAGGCTTTCTGGAGCCAACACTGACTTAGTAAGAATGGTTACTGGTGTCTGAAGGTAAGAGCCGCCTGGGCTGCCAAAGGCGCACTTCCAACTGGCCTGGGAAGGCTCACCTATGGGCGACTTTATGCCATAAGAACAAAAGGAAGCTGAAGATGTAAGGGTGGGGTTTGGATTTTGTAACTGAAAATTTTCAAAGGTCCTTGGTGGGGGAGGGAGGAAGGAAGGGAGACAGGAAGAGAACGAGTTTTCTCTTGCTGTCTAGCATTTAAAAAAAAAATGAGCCAGATAAAGGACAGCTCAGGGACCAAGTATTCCCAAAAAGAGGGGCAGAACACCAGCCAGCAACAGGGTAAGAAAAGTAAGTACCTGAGCCTCCATCATCTTGAACTCGCATCCTTTGTATGTGCAGGTTTGTGGGAACAAATTCTAACTTTTTATCTGCTTTCAAACTGCTGGCTTTAAATGACGGACCTAAGAAACAGAAGCAGGAAAACAGCCTGTCAGCATGCGGAATGCACAAGTAGGACACAGCCCTGAGTTGCTGCCGCATGGAAGCGGGTTTACCTCAACAGGGGCAAGACAGGAGTGGCCACTCAACACAGTACAGAGGATAGCTTGTGGCCAGGAGACTGGCTCTGCATGCCAAGGCTAGGGCAGTGATGATCCCTTCTGTGGCCCAGGCCACCACACAGACACGGCACACATCCCAGATGTGATCTTAGGCAGCATGGTGCCAACACTATAAAAAGCCAGCGGACCACGGCAGACGCTGCCCGCCAACTCTAGATCCTCTGAGAGCCCGGAGCCTGCTCTTTCCGGGCAGCACATCTCAATCCGAAGTGATGAAAAGGTTTGTGCCTCGCCTTAGGCCCATCAAGTTCAACAAGGCCACATGGCACTGAAGCCTGCCCTCTCCAACACATTTAAGTAAGTTCCCTCACACATGCCGTGGCTAGAGAGGTTGGACAATGTAACCAGCACCCAAAATCTTATTACTAGAATCAGAATCCGAAACCAAACCAGGAATCACATACACTACCAACCAAAAGAATTACTGATGAAAATGACAACAGTGAAGAAATAAACATTCCAACTAGTACGAAACAATGCATCAGCGGCTCTTGGGCAGACAGCACCTGTGTGTTCTGCTCTCTGTCTTGGGAGTCTGGTAGCCATGCTGTGACTCTCAGACCTGCCATGTGCCTTTCTTGTGGCACTGCAAGAAATATTGCCAAGGCCTGTGTTTACCTGAGAGTCTCAGAATAGCCGGATGCTTCTAATATCTGAGAAGCTCCGTCCAAGAAAACTCAAGTTTGCCTGGGTTCCATGCTTTCACAGGAGCATTTATCCAGCATGGGCAGGCGCCTCAGCCCTTCAGGCAAATACTGCCATTTCTCTAAGTGATGCACTTAGACTAGCTCAGCTTGGACCAGTCCCATATTCCACCATCTTTCTAAGCTTATGGAAAGGTTTATGATTTTTCTTAAACTGACAAAGCATTATATAGATGGAAAAAAAAACAAAGATAAAGAATATTTTGAAAGAAAGAAGGAAAGAGAAGAGAGAAATGTTATAATTATGTGATAATCTCAAAAATAAAATAAAATGCATCTTTATAAAATAAATTATAAGAAATAAAGAGTACTTTGAAAGACTAAAACAATTAAGCAAAATTCATCCCATCTAGAATAGAAATAAACAGGTTAAAAAGAAATTGCACAGTTTGGAAATCAAATCTCATTTTCAAGAAGGGTGCTTTCCCAGCATGCACCAGGCCCTGAGCTTGACCACCAGACTCCAGCCTGGGAAAAAGAAAAAGCAAGAAAGAAAAAACGAAGTTGAGGTGCCTGAACATGACTTTCTCTTTTGAGTGTTAAAATAGAGAGCTGCACTCTAACAACTTACACATCCATTAAAAATGGCACTGAATATTTCAACTAGAAACTGCTTTGCTTCAGGCGAACAGCCCGTGTCCTTTGGTTCTCAGTGGTCCCACCAGGATGAAGAATCCACACGAACCACAATAACCTGGGTCTCTGCCTCATATCAACCTTGTTCTGCAGTGGTTGTCTTAGGAAATAACATCATAAAGTCTTCTTCCAATTCACCAGTTTATCATTTTAATTATGATCTGAAAACCCCAGCATGGAAAGAATTCACACCTACATAAGAATCTATTTTTAAAAACACACTTGAGATAATCAGCGCAAGTCTGAGCTCCCCAGGCCTTCAGATAGCTGTGTGGGAGTCTGGGAGCTACCTTAGGAGGCAGGACCGCACCCACCTTTGTACTGATGGAGGTCAGTTAGGTTCTCCTGGTAGGTGAGGATGATAGTCTGATACTGGGTGACAATCTGGCGCCGGAGGCTCTCCCAGCAGGGGGACAGCTCCCCCAACTCTTCCAGCTCACAGACTCTGCAAACAAACACACATCAGGCCACAGGCTGACTCGCTGCCCCTGGAGCTGGGGGTAGAACACGGAGAACACAGGAGAAGCAGCAGCGCTGCTCCCTGGGCCAGGCCAGCAGCTTCACAGCCAGTGCAAGGGCAACCAAGTCGCCAGAACACAGGATGATGTGCCAGATCACTGAGAAGCACACAGAGAAAGCACAGGAACTGAGCTAAGTGCTCAGGGCCAACAGCAGATGAGGGGAGAGGAAAACGGTGGCCAAGGAGCGGCTCTGCCGGGTGACCCTGAAGACTCCACTCAGGCAACGGTATAGCTCTCTGCAGGACGATGCAGTACTCCAGAGCGGAAGGGCAGGAGCGGTGAGACGCACTCTGCTCCCACCCTCATTCCATGCCAAGTACACAGCGACAGGCCCTCACTTCCAGAGTGGCCATCGGCCTTCCTGAGCACCCTTGCTGCCCACACTGAGTGTTAGCGTATCACAGGCCGCTGCGGCCAGCAACGTAAACGGCTCTAAAGCACCTGCCCAGGGAAGGGGCACTTTCAAGCAGTAATGCACCATGAAATGAAAAGCAGGCAACAGTAAAACAAACAAAAAAACCACAGCATGAGAGTAGGTGTGACAGCTCAGTGGATGAAGGTGGCTGAGTTGGATCCAGGAGCCACATGGTGAAAAGAGAGAACAGAGTCCGCACAGCCATCCTCTGCCCTCCCACGTGACACCACAGCACATATGCTCCACCCTTGCATGGTGAAAATTAACGCAAGGAAACTGAACATGCACAGAGAAACCGACTACAGTTATATAAATATGTACAAATAAAGACTATGGCTTTTAAGTTAAAGTTATGACACAAATAATACACACAAACAGATAAAACTGCAAAATAACTTTGTAAATTTAGATGCAAGGTATGTGGTACTCACTGTATTCCTGCTATTTTTCTCAAATTCTGAATTTTTCAGAGTGAAAACTAAAAACATCTGCATTATAGTACTGAGTTTCTGGATACATGGTGTTAATCACTAACACTGATTTAGAAAAAGTGTGGAGGTCACGGTCTGAGACTGACAGGAAATAGCCTCACCCTTGCCTTAGGATGAGAGCTTTGCTCTGGGAGAAGAGGACCCTTCAGGTCCTTATCTCTGTGGCCCCAAACAGGGTGAATGACAGGAGAAAGGGACAAAGGAGGGAGACATGCCGATGTCAGTTAGCCTCTGGGGCTTAGGCCTGTGAGCCTCTGGAAGGCTGAGGCTCAGGGCCAGCGCTGGCAGAGCCTGGGGGTGTGCTGCTGCCTGTGGAAGGCGCGGGTGGTGGTCATCTTCTCCCAGCGGTCTCACCTGGCCGCGTCCTCCTCCAGCAGCAGCTTCACAAACTGCCGAGGCACATGCAGGGAGAGGGCGCTCTCTGCCATCTGCTCCAGGATCCGTAGGTGGTTGCCGTCAGTGGTGGGGAACCGGTACATGCGGCAGATGGCGCCGCCGAACACTGAGGAGGGACCGGAGAGGCCGAGGGTGAAAGGCTGCACACCCACCTGCACGCTCCCTCCCACTCAGGCCCTGGTTCCCCCAGGAGAGTTAGCAAGCAAGCAGCAACAAGAAACCCCCAAAACCACTTAAATCAAGCCCCACCAAGCGGCTGTCCCTGACATGCCTCCCTACACCAGGGGACGAAAGTAACTAAAGTGCGCAGGGCTGGGGCAGAAAAGAAGAGGAAATAAGACGCCCATCCTCAAGGCACCCTGACTCTGCATCACTGCACAAAATGCCATGCTCACGAACAGCAGCAAACAGGTGGAAACGGGGGCCGGTGGGTGACAGCCATAGTGGGTGGGGAGTAGAGGGTGGCCAGTCGGGGGAGAGCAAGCTGCTTACCCGATTTCAGTAAGGTGTCTTTTCGCAAAGAAGCATATTTGGATCGGATTCCCAGGGCCTCGGTCAAGCTCTCATCAACAGGCAGAACCATCTGGGAAGAGTTAGAGAAAAGCAGAGAACACTGGGTCTGAGGACTCCAGGGTGTTGGCAGAAACATAAGACCTGGCGGCTGATCATGCAGTGTTAGTCTACAGTGCACAAGCTGCCCAGACACACACACACACAACCACACACACACAGATGTCCCTGCCCACGCTGGATGCATGCCTACTTTTCACCTGTCTTCTAAGTCACTTCACCTTGGGTGTCAGTCTGGTATACAAAATGCAAACGGAGGCAGATGACACCAGATATGCTCAGCCAGTGTTCTGAGCACCCTGGGGGACAGTGCTGGGCTCTTAAGCTGGAAACTGTCTGGGTGAGAGACTGTGTGGGCCATGAGGAGACGGGATAGGAGGGGAGAGTCCCGAGAGGAGGGCAGTGTGAAGCAGGTGACTGGGGAGACAGTCACCAGGATGTGGGGGAGGCATACGTCGCCATCACCTCCTCACTTGCACCTTCCCACTGCCCCATCTGTACTCCAGCAACGAGACTCTGCTCTCAATGCTGTGCCACAGAGGCAGCCAGTGTGGCTTGGAGCACAGGCCATTCCCCCGCCAGCAGCGCTTTGCACGTCACAGCAGGAGCCCTTCTGTTTCTCCTGACATCACCCCCAAGAAAGCCCTGAGAGTCAGTCGCTGGGAGGTGATGCCGGACAGCCCTCCCTGCCCTCCACTAAGCACAGCTGGGTGTGAAGATCAGTCCTCTGACGGTTCTGAAGCCATGAGAGGGTACCCACTCACCCGTCCGTTGACGGTGTCCAGAGACCGGGTCACGGGGGGCCTCTGGTCCGACTTCTCCTCCATCTGCCAGCCAATCACAGTTATGTTGCCCACTCGGTCACTCTCCGCAGACCTGCAACAAGCGTCGTGCCTTGAGGAACACTGTTCTGGCTGAGCAAAGCTCAGTCATCCTGGGTTACCAGGGTCTAGGAGAAGCAAGGCACCGTCCCGACAGGCCTTCGGACACTGAGTGGCTCATCTTACCTCTCCTCGGCAGACACCACTGCCCGCCCCCCGAGACAGACCCCGGGAGGATAGACGGCCTTGCAAAGGCTTAGGGCGAGCACCAACCTCAGCGTGAGATGCAGTCTGTGAGGTCTGTCCTGGAGCAGGTCTTTGACAACAAATGTTCCAGAGCCCAGTAAATACATCTGACAGAGACAGGGAGAAGCAGGGTAAGGACACTGGGCGTTCCTCCGACCCATGCACCACAGCCCAGGGAACCACGAGCTTCCTGAAACACCTCCCTCCCACCCTCACCCCATTAACCCATAACAAAGCTCAGAAGTGAGTTCCCAGAGAGAAGCATGTTTCCAAATAGGCTAATTTATAAGCCAATAGTGAACTCAATCTTGGCTACCGCTCGCTTGGACCATTACACACAGTAAGTGAAGGGAGCCTGTTCGGCAACCACACGCTACTTAACTGTTCCCTGAGATCTGTCTTTGACGTCATACACAGACAGCTTGATCTGCGTCATCTGGTTGATAAGGGAATCTTGAAAGAAGGCGATGCTGCTTAGAAAGATGGGATTGCTGGTTCCCTGGAACAGAAAACAGCTGGAATTCATCTTGAGGAATTGTTTTTGAGCTGCCTGAATGGTTTCAGAACGAGGAAAGTAACATTTTTACTGATCTGCTCAACACAAATGCTAATGACAGCACAAGAACCAAAGAACTCTGCTTTCCAAAGAGGAAGCTGTAGCCTGACAGGAGCATCACCGTGGGGCACAACCAGCAGGCCCGCCGCAGAGGCCACACGGGACTCACTGCTGGCTAACCCTGAGTGAATTTGGGTCAGACACCCATGAGCATTCTTGGGGAGCAGGTTCTTGGGGAGCGTTCTTGGTGATGCAGCTTCAGGTGTGCTACATATTTAGACTGCTACTTAGCTGTGTTCCTGTCAGATGTGTGCAAAGGCAGAGCAAAGAGGAAATGGACAGTTTCAGTGATTATTTCTAGAATCCTGTGTCTGGAATAATTAAAGCTGACCTTTAAGGGCTGTCCTCTTTCAGGACCAGGTTCTAGCTTCTAGGTCATGGGTGCCTTTTTCTGGAAGCTTTGCCTCAGAGCTCCATCAATCTCTTCTCACTCTTTCAGCAGCACTACGTAGCAGAGCAAGCAGTTACCTGAGTGATGCCTCCCTCCCTCGGGAGCCCTAGGTCTCTCTCTCAGTGCTGGTTTCTATGAGCCCTCCCCAACCTTCCCTCCACATGCCAGAGGAATCGTCAAAGCAGGCTAAGGCCTGGGTTCAGCTTTGGTGGCCTTGTCTGCTGAGCGGGTGCTGACAGGAGACCACAATCCCTTCCTGCTATGTCTACCTCGGCTGGGTCTTCCTGTAAGCCTGTCCTTCCCACTCCTTCCTTCCGCTAACTCCTCCCACATCCCTCCCCCAGACACCTGTCAGAGTCATGAGACCTCCATGCAGCAGTCCTGCAGAGCTAGCTACTCTGCTCTATGGCAAGCACCCCTGCGCGGCAGACAGAAAAGCTTCTTAGACTCCGTGATGCTCTGCTCCCACCCTGCATCCTATACTATGTGCAGTCCTAGACTGGACGCACAGGCATCACCTTCCAGCCATGCAGAGCTGGGACCCCACCTGGGCTTCCTGTGAAGCGTGACCTAGGAGGCCTACGTAAAGGAATGTTGCTGCTGTATCCTCACCCTGCTACCCTAAAGCTCCCCATGCTTTCCTGTGTGTAGAAGTTTCCCGGCAAATTGTGCCCCTTCCCCCC